TCTATGGTGAGCTGTAGGCTATTATTTTTAAATCAGCTATGGTTTTTTTACTCTCTATTTTTATTTTTAGATCTGCTTTGTTCTTTGAACTCTCTCCAGGGTGACCGGGTGTATTTATACGAATATTCAGGTTTGTACTTACATTTGGCTCAATTCTATTTGGAATGAACTACCCCCCACGAAAAGTTGTTTTTCGTCTTCGGACGTTAGTCCGATCAGCCATATATTGTTCTTTCTTCTTTCTCTCTATTTAGAGAGGGCCTTGATTTCGTTTAGCGAAAATTTATATCAAATTTTGGAAACCAAATTCAGGAGGCTGGAGCACGGGGTTATGCGGCGGAAAAACGGACCAGGAGTAGCTTTTTCCCAATTCAAATTCCCATTAGAAGGGTGCCCTAGAGAAAGCTGCTACTCAGTCAAACCGAATTCCATTTTAATTTTTCGATAGGAGCGGACGCCGGGCGGCGACAATGGGTGTACCCTTTTTGCGAAGAAAAAAAAGGGAAAAGGAGAAGACAGCTGATGAAGAAAGCAGAAAGCAGCCAAATTCTGGTGCAGCATAGGCAAAGGTAAAATACTGTGTATTTTTCAGAAGGCTATGAAAATACACGAAAAGAAGCAGAAACATCCACATTACGCAGTATACACTTATTTGCAATAGTCAATAATACTGGTTTGGAAACGTGTTGTAAGTTGATTGTTGCCATTCGCAGTGTACGATTAGCAACATAACTTTCACAACGTAGACTATCTTTCATTCAATCACGTTACGTTGGTGTAGACTATTCTGACTGTCTTTGTCCCACATACTGGGACGAAGCATATCTAACGTTATCACCTTAAATCTATTGTAGATACGTTGATATATTTCTGTTTGGCTGTTCAACCAAAAGAGATACATTCACCTATAGTTTATCACTCGATAATCTAATACTATGCAGGATCCTGTGATCGTGCCTGAGAGCTCGACTGCGAGCAATCACTTCAATGCCATCGGTATGTAGCCATGTAGATGCGTATTGGTCAGATAATTAAGTATTCATTTGTGAATGGTGCATCGGTGGTTTTAGTCCTCATCTATGTTGTTCTGTTGCTGCTAACTACCCTTCTCATTGTGCACTCAGTATGATTTTTCCGCCTTTTGTTTTTGTTTTCGCTAGCACCTTCGCTAACATGTTTGTGCTTTGCTTTCCTTGTAGATCCGAGTGCATTCTATATGAATTACTCTAATCCTTATGGAGCCATGAGCCAGTATATGGGAGTACAGCCAAATATACCAATGCCTCCGCAACAGGCCCAGATGCTTGCTCAGATGACCATGATGGTGCAGCAGCAACACTTGCAACAACAACAGCAACACCAATTGCAACAGCAACATCTACTACAACAACAAACGGATGCTTATAACCAAATCAAGAGTAAGCCTTCACTGACTCCTACTCAATTAGTACACAAGGAAAAGCCTTATGCACCCGAGTCACCTTCGTCTTCGACGTCCGCATCCGCTTCACAAGCGTCCGATTTCGCGTCGATGCTAAATGATACGTCTCTGCTGCCCTTTACGTTCGACGATTTTGTTACTGATCCGTGTCTATCCCCAAAGTCGTTCTCCTCGGCTGGGAACTTTCACGTACACGCACAGTCACTTGGGGCGGCAACTGCAAATGCTAACCATATGTACTACGGTTTGGGATCAATGGCGATTCCTACGCCGCCTATGGATGCCAGTATACACGGTTCACCTGGGAGTATGCAGGGACCAGAGTCACCTGAGAGCCAATCGACCGGACAGTTGACCAACAATCCAGACCAAGAATCCGTTCCGAAAACCTCCCCGAGAGGTTCTATCGCTAATAAGCCCATTGATATAGTTCCGGTAAATAAACCTGTGGGAGCAGAGAAACGCAACCTTCACCTCGCGGCAGAGCAAAAAAGGAGAAACCAGATCAGAAACGGGTTTCAAGATTTGCAGAATATGATTCCTGTGAAAGGACAAGCGGGTGCAAGTGGGAAGTTTAGCAAGGCCACTGTGCTACATAAAGCTGTGGACTATATAAGTTACCTGATGAGAGAAAAGACAGGTATAATGACTGAAATAGATAAGGTCAGGAAAGAAGTTCAGCATCTGAGAGAGATTATTACCGAGTACCAGGAGATGGTGAAATCGGGTGCGGGGAGTGAAGAGTTAGACGCCAAATTGGCTTCCATGCAGACCAAGACGAGGCAAATGCAGAGTCAAGACGGAGCCAAGTATCGGGACTCTGACTCACGGGATAATTTTGAACAGAACGCGCGAAATTACGATACAGAAAATATCAAGTTCTATGTGGTATGTGACATCATAACACTGAGACATGCTTTGTCCGACATTTCACTAAGAATAATTATTATTTTTGTTCAAAAGTGTATTCGCACTGACACTATCCTTTTTTTCTTCGTCTTCCTATACAGTTCTGCTGTGTAATAGACGCTCTCTTCGAGTCATTCAACGAGATTGTTTCGCTAGAGAACGCCGAAGATTTCTCGCTCTCGCTTATGTCTTGGTTTGAGCAATACTGCACCCCCGATACGCTGAGGACGACCTTCGTTGATAGCATGCAGACGATAGTTTCCCGCCTGTTTTCAGAGGTAATTCACGAATGGTGTCGCTGTTCGTCAGTACTTTACTGTGGTTATTGGAATCTAGTTCGTGCATATGCGGAGCAGTTAGTACTTCGATCCTTCTGGCTGATTAATTCCTCACTTAAGCTCGACGTAGTTTTCTATAGCGTTGTTTCTCTATTCCAGTACTAAAATTACATTGCAACCTACACTGACAGGAGCAAACGAAAACTTTACGGCGTGTGAGTGGAGCCATTACGGCCTGCAAGGAAGTCATGGTGACTGCACTGGACAATTCAAGCGTTCCATATGCAAAGAAACTGGGACGTACGATAGACTACGTGGGCTCCATCTGCTCGTTAGATACACTGGAATCGAATTCTGTTCTTCGCGTTAGTCCGGCGAACGCTTCAATTTGAATACTGTTCGAAGGCAGCGAACCGTCAAATAGTAGCAGTGCAAAAAAAAGAGTATGAGACAGTGGCAAACCGCCTTAATAACTGCTAATGTGCAACAGCAAAAACGTATTCGATATAGCGATAGCACTTGAAACGAAGCATACTGTGGGCAACTCTTGCATCTCAACTGGGACCACTTGAGGCTTGAGAAAGTTATAGCTAGACCTGCGGTGTGCTGCATTTAAGAGTTTGGTCCGGGCTCGGTGTTCACTACTAATTGCCTGAGTCGTCCTTTGGCCCCCCCAAAAATACCCTGATTTAAACTAGACGTACTTACGTAGAATATAGCAAATAAGCTTGTACGTGCATATATTTGCGTACAAAAGAAACCGTACATATCTATCTAAAGGATATGAAAACAAAGCTTGGCACATATACCAGGCTGACTTCTTGAAAATAAAAGACACGGAATATTATCTCTTTGAAATACATGGCCTTTCTATACTAGGATGTATAACGTACGCTTGTTCCCAATTATAAAAGGGCTTTCCATAAAACATAAATTCGCTCTTTGGTGCTTCCAATAGAATCCAGAAAGTCAATCGCTTGTATCAAATCGATGTTCCTGCATCTATTCTATGGCCGTGCACATATGTCTGCGTACGCACCTTTTCATTCCAAGAATGATTACGCACACACAATTGACAAAATCTAAGATATAATTCAGCTAAGGATAGTTGCAATCCTGCAATTCCAGCTGGATCTAATCTGGGCTCGACTTCGCGAAAACACAACTTTCACTTCAATTGCCCTTAATAACGTGCAGAGAATGTAAAAACTATATGCCTTTTTTACAGTTGTCATCCTTCACAAACCATCAGGTACAGGTTTAGCTGTGCAATTTTTTATTAGATCATTTCAATACCTTCATCCTTCGATGTGCACTACGGTGGCATGTTGATATCCTACTGGGATATGTTCACCGTGCACTGTTGCAAATACATAGTGGTTGCGGATCTCATTTGCGGTCTCCAGCTGGCTCTTAAGCTGCAATTGAAACAGAATGAATTAGTACAGCTCGAGCAAGACACATGAAGCCTGTATTCAAGTACAGTGTATTTCTACGTCATACAACTATTCTGACCCCCTAAACAGATATTCAAAGAAGAATAATGGGGTGGGTGAAAATGGGTCAAATGGAGTATATTACCGTGGCGGCATACCTGAATGCTGGCACCGGGTGCCAGGTCTTCACAGACTGTGTGCCGGGTACCCACACTTTCGTCCTTGAACCCGAGTTCATGGGAATGAATCGATAGACAAATATTGTTCACTTTGAACGAGTGGGTATTAGTGTATGTAGCCTCGACAGGGAAGAAAGTCTCTACATCGTTGCCGTCAACCATAACGTTTCCTGGCACGATGAGATTGATCTTGGGCGCTGTAACGTCGTAAGTTATCAAAATGAAAGGGAAAAGAAAAAGGTTATGTACGGACTCGGAGTTAGCATACTGGTATCAATTCCTATGAGAATATCCTTAACCTTGCTCTTCCACATACCATCAAAAGATATAACTTTAGTCACAATGCGGGTCATGTCTTCAGAATGCACCGCGGACCGAACTTGGATGGCCACGTCCTGCAAGATAAGCAAGTTGGGGGGGGAAATCGGTTAGTGCACGATTGAAGGACAATGGCCATATATCCGCGAGAAATATTGCCTAAATTGTAAAGCTATGGGATCGTTGATATATAATGGTTTCGTGAAACTGATTTAGATTTGTAACTTACATGCATAGACTTTTGGAGGTATTGCTGAGCGTCCACATCGAATTTGAGCGACATTGCCTCACCGGTAGATTTAACATTGCGAGACTGACGACCCAATTTCTGTTCGAATATAATAAGGCACGTAAGTGTTAGTACACAACACCGAGGACAACATTGTGAAACATTCAGTTGCCATACGGGTACGGTCTACACAGGTTTCCACTCAAATTCAGAAAAGAGAAAAGGCCCAACAATCGCTGGGGTTTAACTAAGATAACACAGAAATAACATGAAACCCTGAAAACAAATGATTTTTCTACGAATTGGTTGGATTCGACAAAATTGTACCTTGATCACATCTCCCTTATTATTAATAAGGTCAATGGCGACGTTGACCTCGAAAACAGTCCCAGGCTTGGCTGCCTACAAGATTAGTAAGATACAATCATCAGATTAGGTGATCAAGGTTGGCCACCACATGCCGATCAGTATTATGTTGACTTCGAGGCTTTCCAGCCCAGTATTGAGATAATAACAAACAGAAACGCTTAAAATGATCTATAAGAACTGTTCTTCACAATGAGCGCAAACCAAGACTTACCTGGATCTCTACGGTACCCTCTACGGTATCACCAGCCACGACCATACCATTACCCTCGATGGAAACCTCGAACTCGGGCTCGTCATCTACAAGCCTCTGGTTACTCTGCAACCAAGACTCGTCATCCTTGGGGAAAGGAATAAAAGCATCCACGGTGGGGTCCACGAATTCTTGCGTGATTTCTTTCTCGGAGAACGATCCATCCTTATTTGTTTTGGTGGTCAGGATAAGCCCAGCTCCTGTTATGTCGTACTTAATCATTTTCTCTACCTGCATAGTGAACCGAATACGAAACCAGATATAGTAACTTTTAGAATTCCCATTTCCGTGCAAAATTTACGATCGCAATAGATTTAAACTTCAGGACAACTGCGAACCGTAAGGTGTAAAATCCTTGATGCTTGAATGATTGTATACTATTCATGCCGAACGCTGGAATGACGTACCGTGCATCCCTTAAGATCAGTGTTTTCTGCATCAGGCTTCTCGCACTCGACCAGATAGTTGCGAAGCGTAGAGTGGACAGTGCTTATCACATCGCTGATATTGTACCCAGCACGTTCATCGAGGGCCAGAGTAGATTTGACACTAGCGGGACCTAATCCTGCAAATTACAACGGATTTCAAGATTAATTGCAGATAAAGGATTTGTCAAGCGACATCTAGCTTCATATTATAAGAGTCACAAGCATCCCAACTATCAATCATACCAGGGGGGGTTCCGTCCTCGGACTGCCAACCGCTCTTATCGTCATCCCGGTGCAACCAAATGTTATTCCAAGAGTGATAGTTCCACACGCTTCCTTTAGAGTGGTGCAATGTACCGTCGGCCTCAAAGAATTGATCGACTACGTGATGATGGATGTGATCCTTCGATGTTTTTGCGGAAGCGTCGATTCGGGCACCAAAGGCGGAGAGCTGCCGAGCAGGAATACCTATAGCGCGCATCAGGGTGTTCTGCAATGCCGCGAAGATCCAGCACTGTCCGTACTTTGCGGGCTTGCCGGTTTTTTTCCATTCGTTCAGGATATCTACGGTGCTGACCCACAGATCAGGATCGGTGCCATCAGCGAAATCACCGCTCCACTTACCCTCCAGTAGGCCATCCTTGTTACCTTTTATGTGTATGAAACGAAACGGGGTTATTTTTAAGCGATCGCAAGAGACAATTCAGACTCGAGGGGTTGTTGCTTTCAAACAGATCGTTAACAGGAAAATATTCTAGATAATACCTTGATGCGGCTTTTCTCCTGGATTGGGGTCGTGGAACCCTTGGTTGTGCGAGATATGCTGCGCTGTCTTCAGTGCACTTTGCGAATGCCCTGCCGGGATGGTTTTGAGCAGGTAGAAAACAGCATCAAGCGCAACCTGAACAATGCGAGAAGCGCAAAGTAAGAAAACTTATAGATAACTGACACTTGTATCCTGTTTCTTTCATGATCAAACCACTACAACAGAAGATCACTGCTACAAACTGACCAATTATCAAGGCTGGACATACCTGATGGGACTGACCGTAATACCAGTGGATAGTTCTGTATTTGTTGATAGATCCATCATAGACCTTGCCATAATCTTGGAGGACGTGTTCTTGACGCATCTCTTCATCATCTAGATATACACATTTGTCTTCCTCCGACCATGCGTTAAATAGAACATAGATTGGGAATGGGTAGAAATATTCATAGGATTCTTCCTCGCTTTCAATTTTTCCTTCCTGTATTCGTGAATCGCGAGAAGGGTGGCCAGTAAGATATTTATTCGGAGCGTCGCAAGATGAACAAGATGTGCTACAATGCCGATAAACAGTGCTTACCAAATCATTGCTAGCCCTCGGGGTGATACGATGAACATAAGACTATGTAACCCTAATAGTTCGTAGTCGTGAAAGCGAGACATCACAAAAATAAACTGACTCAACTACACACACTGCATCCAACGTAAGACTCCGAAAAATACATACCTTATTCTTTGTAGCGACGGCCAAAGTTATATCTTCGTACTTTCCTACGGGACAATCGCCAGTAGTTGTGACAGTCACCATATACTTGTTGTCGCCAAGGGATTTTTTTACTTCGCATTCGAAGTCCGGGCTGAACTCACTCGCTTTCTCGTTAACACTCATCACGAAGGTCATGTTATCGTACCTAAAGAACATATCAAAAATAAAATGAGTATTTGTGTGAACGGATATGCGTCGATTCTATGTAGTTGGATAGCGAGCTGATCTATAGCCAAAAAGTGGGATCACAATATGCAGTGTCACGGGCGAACAGGCCTGGTGCAAGCTGAAATTGATATCAATTGTGATATGGAACAGCAGTACGCATCAATTCTATTTTGACCCTTATATTTGACCTCCGATGACATACTTCAACTTCTCACTCGTAGTGACGACAACTTCAAAGGGCTGGCCACGTCTGACCGCAAAGCCGAGGTCGATCTTGAAGTGGTCGGTGTGGTGTGCTTTCTTGGATTCTTCGGTGATCTGCAGACCCGTGACCTGAGGCCACTCGGAACCGATACCATTTTTCGCACTGATAGCAGCTGATGCCGCAACAGTAAGGAGCGTGACTAACGAGCGTAAGCCCAACATGATGATATGAAAGCCTAAAAGTATCCGTAGACTTATTAGTATATCTCTAGAAAAAGCCTTCAGATCATTGTTGCATACCTTTTTTCGAACTGCTTTCCAGTTTTGGACTTTTTACACAACTGTACGATACAATGATGAATACATACATTATTTTTTCCAAGAAAGTATCTAGGTATATGTCCTAATATGGCAGATTGTCTGGGTTGGCCCCCTGAGGCGGGCCTCGGGATATTATTATTTGTTTATTTACGTTCATATGTAAATAGAGTCACATTAGTGGGAGTGTTTTTTTTTGTAGTATGTAGTAGTAGAATATGATTTTAGTAATAACGATGTTTTTTCCCGACACAAACCGATGTTTAACATCACAGGAAGAATACTGTCTGTACCCACACGCACTCACCTTCTTTGTTCACATGCTGTGTAGCAGATTCACGAGGTTGTAATACATACTTTAGTAAACAGCTCATAACAGTTAGATAATACGTGACAAGCACAGTTAGGGATAAAGCCAACAACACAGATAGGTGCAAAAAGCGAAAAGCATAGTTGAGACATAAACGTTTTAGCGCAGCTGCACATATCAACTACATACCTTATATCGGTTACATATATTATCTATACTAGATAGACAAAATATTCCACCATGGCACCACGAGGTCAAAGCGATGATCAGGTGCTAGCAGGACTCCGCAAATTGCCGGAGAATAAAATATGTCCGAACTGTCATGCGAAGGCAACACTGGGTCACGCCAACGTGTGCATCCCTTTCAAGACATTTGTTTGCAGGTATGCCTACTACTTGCGGAATGACAACCATAGTTTTGACCTCCGCTAATGAGCACCGTCTATCAGTTTAGATCCGATAATCTGCGATCCAGTCGTACAAATTGAATTTGATAGGCGAATATTATCACGTCATTTTGGCCCACAAGCAGGATATTTAAAATATGTCTCTAATTTATGTCCTGATATTTCTTACCCATTGTACACTTTTATACAAAAACACAAGCAATTACAGACGTTATAGCTTTTATAGAAAGCTATGTTCCTATATATATATATATATATATATATATATTATAATATATAATATATATATATATATATATATATATATATATAGAATATATATATATATATACTATTATATATATGCTATTATATACACTTTTATTTATTAATATATATACATATGAATATATGAATATATTTTTAAACGTATATATACATATACTTCAAAATATACATACGTGGACAAACATTTACACACGTGTAGACATGCACACACACATACATATATATATATATATATGTGTGTGTGTATATGTTTATATGTATATACGCATCTGTTTGTGTGCGTGCGTATATATGTATGTATATATATATAAATTAATATATATATAAATCTATATTTTTATATATATATGTGTGTGTATACATGGATGTATTTGTTTATATATATATATATATAAATATATATATACAATATATATGGTTATATATATATATATTTATATAAATATATATATATATATATATATATATGTTTATGTATATGTATGTATGTATGTATATATATCTAAATATGTATATATACATATTATATATATATATATATATATATATGTGGAATAATATAGTGGTGGACTTCATATATATATATGTGTGTGTGTGTGTGTTTTGTGTTTGTGTGTGTGTTCCCATGCATCTATGTATCTGTGTGTGTTTGTGTGTGTATGGATGGATGGATGCATTTATGTATCTATTGATGTAGGGATGTATGTATATATTTATGTATGTATATATACATATATATATATATATATGCATATGCGTGTATAGGGTTGTATATAGACAAACAATTATACATTACATAAAAATATACACATACATATACATATATAAAACATGTTTACTCGTCACATTTATTCTATCTACAGTGACTGTAAAAGCGCACATCAAGCCTTCTCTCAGCGAATCAAAACCATCAACATGTCGACATTCACACACGACGAGGTAGAGAGTCTCCGACCTGAGAACGGTGGGTCGAACAAAATAGCGGAGGAAACATTCATGGGAGATTACAGCGAGCGCCAACTGCCACGTCCTAGGAAGGGGGACGTACATACTGTTTGGAAAGATTTCGTGCAAAGGGTATGTTCGCCCCACCAACAAATTGAGCTCAATGTTCCAATGGTTGATATTTATTGCAATTGTGTGATCGTCGTATACTATGCTCGAATGTCGGGTGTCATTTGTCACCCACGCGCTCACGTTACGCGCTCAAACCCCCGGTATCTTTTACTCGGCTGTCGTTGTTCACCCACCCAATCTCGCTACCTTCATCTCTTGGTCTTGGACTCTCTGCGCAGGTGTACATAGATAAAGAGTTCTTCGTTGGTGGTCGAGGTAGTCGCGGTGGCAGTGGCCACGGCTATTCAGATTCTGACGACGACGATAGAGACCGAAACAGAGACCGAGACGAGGGTAGATATAGACGCAACGACAGTCGATCACAGCCAGATAGGCGTGACCGTGGTGGAGACTATCGGGGGCGTGACTCGGACAAAGGTCGCACGAGTGAGCGCAGACGTAGTCCATCTTTATCTCCAGAGCCCAGATATGCATCAACGTCTAGCAGCTCCAGGAAGCGCAGTGAGCGGGACAAACCCAGCGCGCCTAAATACGATCCTCCCAGCATACGAAACACCGGCAGTGGGCGCACCAAGAGCCGGTATGACGAATCGCCGAAGACGTCGTATCGGGACGGGGGTGGTGGTCGCGATGCAAGAGATAGAGGAAGCAGTAGCAGATATGCCGCTTCACCGAAGACGTCGCGTGCAAGCGACCGTGGCCGGTATGATGACGGGGGCGATGATCGCGATAGACGAGTTAGTGGGGCCCGCGATAACCGTGACCGTAGTTTGACACCTCCACCGGTTCGCGATGGGGTTAGCAGGAGCGGAGATGGGGAGGTGCGCGCCAGACGGAAGGACGCGTCAAGACCAGCAAGACGGGGTGTGTCGGGTAGAACAACAGGCGGGAGGGCTCAGGCCAGTCACAGTCACAGGAACGATTCTCTGTCTCCGGTCAGGCGCGCGGATAAGGGATCTGAAAGGCCTCCGCCAATGGCCGATTTGTTGGCCGATGATGATGGTAAGCAAGAGACTTGTGTTTGCGATGGTTGATACATGTAGATTACGTGTGCGTGATCTGTTATTTAAACGGTGCATATGCCACATTGTGTTAGTGTACGTAGCAAACTGCATCGCTTCATACCATCTTGTCCTAACCGTGTACCGCACCATGTGTCGTCAAGAGATGAGTTTCTAAAGTTTGTGGGATAGAACGTATGCCACAACTTTTGTAATTGCACAAAATAATTGAGGTTGTGTACTGGGCCACATCGGTTATGAGTAAGCCAAGTTTTCCCTTAGAAATATCCGTAGTGCTAATCTCCATGTTTCTAGTCATCTCCGATATCTATTTTCCGTTTCACATTGTGTTTTGCACAGCTTTGACGTCCGGCGTGCAACAACTAGGCATCGGGGGAGATGACGGTGATTTCGATAACTGGGACTCATTCCAAGGTGGTGCTGCCCCAGCGCCAGTCGAGAACGCAGGGGGATTAAACGATGGTTTTGGTCAATCGCTAATTGGAGACCCCTTACAAGCATCCTCCGCCACCGTACACAACCCCGCAAACGACATCCTGGCCATGTTCGGTCAACCGCCTGGCTCGAGCATGCAGATGCAGCCCAGCACTTCGTCAAGCGCGGCAATGCCTGGGAATATGATGCCCATGTTCGCCGGCAGTGGCAATGGCGTGGCCTCATCGAACGCCATGAGCGGATTTGGTACAACGACCCCGTCAGTCCCTATGGGTGGACCGGTTAATACGTCTGTACCGACAAATCCGATGTTCGGCTTTGGAGCGATGCCAGCGTACGGAGGTGGGCAAGCCAATACTACCGCGGGTATGGGCGCAGGGGGCTTCGCCAGCAACCCGGCAGCTATGAACATGGGTCACCCTACGCCCGCATTCGCTTCCGCTGGGGTTTACAACACACAGCAACATACACCATCGTACGGCCTACCTAGCCAAGGGATGAATACGGGTATGAACGCCTTCCCGGCGGGCGGCGCTATGAATGCGTTCGGAAGTGGAGGCGGAGTCATGGCGTCTACTGAGCCTGCAAGCACGGGGTGGTCATCAACAGAGGCCCAACAAAAACAGACCAAAGCTCCGGAAGGTGCCTTTAATGGGCTCAACTGGTGATAAGCCTCAGTTATGAGGATAACATACGTAAGAAAGTAGCTCTAGAATACGAAAGAAAGGAACTAGATTGTGAATAGAAGATACAAGCCTAGTGTAATTAATTAAATAACTGCATGTCTGTCACTCAGTCAATCGCTCGCACTCGACTCTACATGATTCTACACGGGGACTTCTGAATACTCCTCAATCCTCATGTATGAGTGCAGCACAACGTGACATTGATTTGAACACTCCAATTATACAATGACTAAGGCGAATGTCGAATATCAGAGAAGCTCGGATACGCCTTGGAAGCAAGAAGTGTGATTGATCATATTTTAAAGCAGATATAGGGGGTTGTGCAGTAGACTAGTTAGAACACGCTTCACTTGAACGCGAAGCAGATTTTACACTTGCCTCCTTCGGCGTGGATACACCCTATGTCGATCATGGTGTCGATTTTATTATGGTTTTGGGTTGGCAGCAGACTATGCTACCGGTGGGTCTCACGTCACAGTGAATTGCACCTGCCTAGCTCTTAATTATGCCGGACCAAGTACTTCTTTATACAAGAACGATCGAGCCTCATTGTAGATGGGCCCATACTTACAGGGTAGATGCCTTGTGACTTAATCAACATTTTGGTCTTGCAGCAGACGTTCATGCAACTCAAAGTACGATTTAACGACCCTGAAGTCCTACGATTGTCAGTTTCAACATCAGCACATCAAGCCGGTTCTTGTGCGTGGCCATCCGACATCGAAATGCTCTGTGTTATAAGATAATGTATAAGCTGTTGACAGCATTGTCTTGACTGCAGTCTCTCCCCGCGTCGTGGTTGACTTTGGTCCGATAAGTTTGTAGAACCTGTCTAAAGTTTTCATTTACATTCCTGATTACAGACTATTAGATACACTGCAATTCCTATCACAATCGGTCTTGACACGCTGTGATTTTATCTGGATTTGTAAGCATCAAACCGCATACCCCCCCCCCCCCCTCGCCTCGGTACACATGGACTTCTATTTGTTTGGGCCCCACGCGTCCATGTGTACCGAGGCGATACTTGTGGACCTTACAAAGGTACTGCATATTCCTGAAATATTGTTTTTGTCGACAAACTTACGGAAGTTCTAAAGGCTTACATTGCATTACTTACGGAATGCAGCGCTCTTCCGCATGGCTGGAATACTCGCTACTAAGTATATACATGCACATAGATGCAGCCACCAACATAGTCGTGTAACGGTATCGTTTGTACATTTGTCCTCAGGGCAGTCTATTATCCATGTTTCGCATCCGTTAATGCTTTCACACTCAGCCAATAATGCGCTACTGAGTGTTTCACATACGGGTAACACTGTCAGCGAGAAGTAACCCCACGTAGCTATTGTCACACGGGCTGACAGTGCATGCTGACATGCTCGTTCACAGACTGCTGACATCTGCTCTACCAGCATTATGCACTCGTAAGTCGTAAATATACTAATTGCTGCAGAGGTTTCAGAGATTTCAGATTTGATACAAATTTATTTGGGTTATAATCTGGTCTTAAAGAATTCCGCAGTAAATAGATTATATCATGTAAACATCACAACGTGAACCGAAAAATGGACCATTTTTAGATAAGCACATATGTACTCTATGTAATGACTAGTGAGTAGTGACATACTGTTACTACCAATTATTTACATACTCGTAGCCACATACAGATCTATACTCCGAAGTATTTATTTACAAACAGTCCGCCAACCAGATCGCCCGACGCGTTGTAGCACAGGCGCAGACTCACTCTCGAGTCACACAGAAGCACAGATTTTATTGATTATAATCTGGCGACTGGCGGAGTGACGGCAGGTGACACCGCGACAAACGATTTGATTTTTATTTATTTATAAATATTGTAGGGGGGGTAGGGGGGGTAGGGGGACCACATACATACAGTTCTAAAAATAGAACATATTCGTTTTTTGTTCTTTTTGTTTTTTAAATTATAATAAAACAAATCAAAAAAAAGTGTCATTTTGTAGATTCTGATTCTCATCAACGCTATTTCATAAATCAATACATATGTAGCAACTCTCAGAGTGCATTAGACGTATGTGCACTTGGGCAGCCGTGTACCAAACCGCTCACCAATATGCAGAAACAGACGGACGGCGCTAGTGTCGCCACAGCAGAACAAAATGAGCTGATGGTGGCGGAAAGGGACTATATGTCTAACAATAGTATGAAGAGGAGGATAGTTGTGCTCGTTACCATAGCAATGGTTGTTTTTATATTTGTGCCCACTTGGTGGGTTACAACACGCGTATACAGAGCCACTTTGCCTATGGAGAAGATACATTCTAGAAGCGGCTATAAAATGGACATGCATTTGAATTTTACACTCGAAAATCTAAGCTACGGGGAAAAAAAGACACACAACGAATGTGATGTAGATCTTATTACTTTAGCGGATATTGTGAACGCGGAGTTGGATCAGAAGCACTTTGGTGTACTCGGTGATAGACTTGAATCCGGCGCTCAGTTGCATATAGATGTGAAGGCAGGGGACAAAACTCCAAAAGAATACTTCGACACCATAAATGGTGTGTCGTCAGAGCATTCACCTGGGAGGGTAGGTAACTACCGAATGTATTTAAAGTACTCGGGACACCAAACGGACAAGGCGTCGCCACAGCTGTTACTAAGCAACCATAGGAACAGCTTGCTTAGTTACAGTGAATGTGATATAGCGAATTTGGCAGAAAGTGTACAACATGCATTGCTGAAGGTTGCAGGCGGCTATGAACATCTATCCAGTGTTGTCGATCGAAAGGCAGCGAGCTTTCAGGACGATTTCGGTATGATATACTATTGGTAATAATTAATTACTATTGCTATTTTGCCTGTTGGGTGTATGCATGCGACTGTCTGTTGAGTGTACGCGTGCGATAGTCTGTTGAGTGTATGTGTGCATAGTCTGTTGAGTGTATGTGTGCATAGTCTGTTGAGTGTATGTGTGCATAGTCTGTTGAGTGTATGTATGCGATAGTCTATTGAGTGTATGTGTGCGATAGTCTGTTGGGTGTACGTGTGCATAGTCTGATGAGTGTATGTGTGCATAGTCTGTTGAGTGTATGTGTGCATAGTCTGTTGAGTGTATGTATGCGATAGTTTGTTGAGTGTATACATGCGATAATCTGTTGGATTTATGTGTGCATAGTCTGTTGAATGTATGTGTGCAATAGTCTGTTGAGTGTATTCGTGCATAGTCTGTTGAGTGTATGCGTGCAAAATGGATTGATGCGAGAGATTGTATTTCCACATGACTGCTTTCACATCTACGTGTTGGTATTGAGCTTTATGTCTATGAACAGTGCCACCATTGTAGTCAGTATATACATTTTAAAGTTAGTAGTATCCTTGAAACTACATAACTACTGCGGAAACTCTGGAGGTATGGGCTATTTCTGCTTTATACGCAGTTGCCTCTGTCGCCGCGATGCGTGCGTTACTCTCCGCATATGTACTAGAATATGGGCACGGAAAGATGAATATGAAATAAAGAAGCGTACACAAGGCGAAGGTATTGAGTAGAAATTGAATTCTAAGCCACAATTTTTATTTAGACGGCATTCAAGAACTTTACAAAGGTGATATTGTATACGTCCTAGGACTATTGAGTTTTTTGTTAGCCTTTTTAGAAGACAGGCTTCTCACCGTGTGATACATTGCTGTGATGTGGTCTCTACAGCAGTGTTTTAGTATCAAAAGAAGCAATGGCCCATGGGCAATAACAGCATGGACTTGGTTGCAACACTTGAATGCTATATTGTTTGCTTTCCCTACTATGTAGTAAGAGCGTGGCCAATACATACCAAGCTTTGACCTGAAGGAGAATACATCGATTGGTTTAGAGTTCGCAAATTAGCATCCTAATATTTGAAATGGATACGATGGTGCATCTCGAAACGTGCGCTTTCGATAGTTGCAGTGACAACTATAAGCATCCCACATTGAAATAACTTTTAGTAAGATGGTTGCGACGACTATACTGCTAAATCGGCAATGCGGTATTAAGTATCGTTATAGTGTCCTCCACTACATTGCCTTTTACACCAAGTAAATATCCTACCATAAGAGTATATCTCTAAACCTTACACATAACAATCTGTGCACCTTCAGCCAAGCCTGAAACGAGGTACCACGTGCGGGCGAGTGTGATAGTGGCAGATGACAGAGCACATAGGCTCCAATGGGATACGCATACGACCTTCGAGGATGAACTTCAACCCATGCTCGACACCCTGAGTGAAACGGTGAATGTCACGTACTCGTCACAGGTACGTTTAAAAGAAATCGCAAGGGTCCAACCGCTCATACGTTTGGGTAGGCGTATAGTCAGGGTAGTTTACACCTATGTGTACCTATTTCCAAGAATCGATCCTTTTTGACGCGTGTATGCCCACAAACTAGGTATCTTTGGCGATCGAAAAGGGCGATTCACATTGATAAGGCGCTTACGTTAAGTGCACAAACTAATGCACCGCAGAACATACAACAACATATGACACCCTGTAATATTTCCTGCAACAGATTGTGTATCACGCAGCACTCGACCCTCAACGGTTAACGGTTCATTACGACCCTGAAACTGCAGACCACTTCCTCACTCCATCGGACCTCAAAGTGTTCGTCGACCCCATCGACTGGAATTTCGGTACCTCTACCAGTGATACCACTCTAAACCTTCTCGTTTACATCCCCAGGTGTGTGTTACGAGATTTCAAAATCATCTTAGAAGCTTCGTACGTAAGATCACTGTCTGTAATGAGTATATATTGCCATCTGTCGTTGAGTTTCGGGGGATTTTGTGATGCTCGCTCTCCTTCATTTATGATAAAGTAATCATGATTTCTTCTGTTGGTGGGTGATACTGATGTTCCAACCTGGTGATTCCCCCTTCATGGTTTAGTGGTTGGTTATTGTGACCATATTCTCATTTCTGGTCTTTCCTGTGCCCACACGTGTTCTCTAGAGTAGTGTTGTCTAATGGGCTCCTCCGTATATATTGGTTGTCGCGTGCTTCGTTCCACCTTTACCACACGTCACATATCGAATTCTAGATGTATCACTGATTTTCGCCTCGAAGTGCTTTGTTGACGGTATTCACTTTCTATTTAATTTTGTGTGAACCCGCACAGCCTAGAGGAAAGTCCATTGCGAATAAGGGACGAGAACTCGGTCAATACAGGTAGGTAGGAAACGACAACTATGACGGCGACTTGAAATGGCAATCGAATATATTGAGCTTTACCGAGTGTTGTGCATTAACACAATAGTGCAAGTGATGCATCGTTTGTATTTATGGACTTAGAAGATGTGTGCAATGATACAAGTGGTTCATTGTATGCGGGTATGATGTCTGCCCTTTAGTATTGAACATATCCTACCGACGTGCCGTGATGCTGACGTGCCGTGATGCCAATATACCAATAGGACACCTTAATATTGACGGCCTATGCTATACCCGCTGTAGATAAACTTGTACATTCGCCTTGTTTCGTGGTTTTTCGACTTAACACAAGCATCATTTCGCTTAGTTGGCTGTATGCGCGTCTGAGAATACTATCCATTAAGCTATTGGAAGGTCTGCTGCCACAGAAACTAACTCGTTCCGCGTAGAAGGAATCTACATACAATCAGCACAATTCTCAATACAATTCTCAATTTTTGGTTGTACTGCTTTGTTGTCGCAGACACCAATTCGTTCTATCTACCTGGATGGGGCGGGGTAGTTGTGGTGAACGCTGAAAAGGACGATGACCAAGCACTCTCACCGAATATCACAGTTGTCACGCATTTACCAGCACACGCTGCTAGCCGAGTGTTCAGTACATTCAGGCAACACTTGCGTGCACTGTTGGCTGCACCCGTCGAGGTAAGCCTGCCTGTAGCTGATTGGTAGTAGAACCATACGATGAGTACCTGGGCTCTACACCCACAGTGTGAACATTTGTGATGTATAGTTTGTGCATCGCGCGGAGAATGTGTTTGAAGTTATGCGTGAGGGCATGCATCATAGCAACATCTAAGCACGTTCAATTCTAAAATGGGCGTAACTACTGGAGCGGACCTGATAGACACTGCGCAGTACGAGCATATCTCATGTGGTGACAATACAATGCGGGTTTGTGATACAAACTAAGACTCGATTGTCTTACAACGATCATAGCTACAACCGTACACCTTAACGGACAGTAGTTGCGTATCTGTTGTAGTAACACGCAACGACTTTGGCAGTCTGCCAGACACGTATTCAACCACTTATCAAACGTTTATTTTACCACCACTGCATGCAATTAGCACAATGATGAGACAACCACAAGTACCTGCACGGCGGCACCTGAGGGAGTGTGTCAGTGGGAAACGGATATCATGCAACGAAGACGTATAGTGCAGTACGTTGACGAGGCTTTCAAATCAATGTCATCTCTGGCGAAACTGCTCGAGAGTATACCCAACATGGCTATAGCGGACCATCTCCAACAGGATGTACTGAAGGCATTGAGGTATGCCAACGCTATGGTCGGAGGTGATAGAGGTGCATGTTTTGGTTTTTGGAACCGATTTACGTTGTAGATGTATTCTGCTATTATTGATGTTATTCTGCATTCTGCTGTAGTATACAAATAGTATGTACATTATGTATATGGATGAATAGGTATAGATACTTATCCACGAGGATATCCACCACCCTACTCGTTCGGCTCATGCTTAAATATCTGCTAAATCAACTTATGAAGGCCAAAGTGCTTTTACGTAACCCATCAATAAAGGGTACCAAGCCCTGACAATGATGGTGCGGTTGGTAAACATTAGAGCACTTCGCGTCAAGGTGATTCTAGCTGGAGAATGAGGAAAAAGTACTTTCATTATTAAATTCATACCTACAAATATATTTTTGTATGCATCAGTAGCATTCGAGTGTCATATATATATATATATATATATATATATATATATATATATATATATATACTATATATATATATAGTNTGTGTGTGTGTGTGTGTGTGTGTGTAGTGTATTATTATAGTTAGTTA